ACTCATCACTCAGTTAAACTCTAAAAATAAAAGGTAGTGAATAAAATTTGAGTCATGTTGCAAAATGTTTGCACTATCAAATGGTTATCAGAGACGTCCAAAGTCTCTAAGAAAAACTCCAAAAATTTTCGAAAAATAGCTATGTTGAAAAAAATCGTAATTCGGCGATTATCTCCGAACTTATCACATAAGTGGCACCATGAACATAAATGTTGAGAAGAGGAAGAAATTCTGCATTGAATCATTCAAAGTATTTGCTTATCTTCACTATACTTATTTGGAGGGCTGGTCCAAAACTGAAAGGCTTTTGCACCGACCTGATATATAAAAAAATAAACAAATTGAAGTTATAAGTAAAGAGTTCACGAATTTTTCAACACACTTGTTTGAAGCCTAATTTTGGTGCAATATATTCGTATCCGAATATATTCGAAATATTTGACTATTCAACCATTCGAATGGTCGAATATTCGAGAAAATCCATTTATTCGGTTATTCGAACAGTCGAATAAATGAAAAAGGCCTTCACTCGAATTATTCGTTCATTTGTGGACTCCGAAAAATGACTTATGCAAATATTCGAATATTCGAAAGATTTTAAAATACGGTTCTTCGAATATTTAAATACTTGAGAGTTCCGAAAAACAGTTGTTAAATATTCGGATAATCCATAACGTACTCGAATATTCAAATACTGCGTTAAAATATTCGAATATAGCATACGAAGATTCGGACATTGCATTCGAATATTAGATGATATCCAAATATTTCATTCGAATAGTCGAATATTCGATAAAGTTTGGATACTCGAATGTTCGAAAATTCTAATTCTGAAATGTGCTCGTAATCGATTATTCACAAATAACATGAAAATTGGTGATTAAATAGTATTTTTTCACTCGAAAATTTTTTGAAAATCTTTCGGTGGGAATTTTCGCTCATCTATACTTTCATAAGGTCCCTGGCCGTCGCGCGCACTGCATCGCGTCCGCAGTAATTCTACAGCTACACTGCGTACGCAACGCATGCGACGGTCACTATCACTATTTTACGATTGCCTCATACAAGTCGGCACAATCCATTATTTTTGATAACGAAATGAAAAACCTACGCATTTTCCAAGAATAGCGACAAATTTCTAATTTGGCAAAAATGCAGCTGTGCACACTCTAAAGCAAAATATCGTAACAGATAGGCAAAGTGTTGCTAGAATCTGATTCACTAAGCTCAATATTGAACGAATGAAATTTGAGAAAAAAATGAGGTTTAGGCATTGAGAAATTGCACGAGTTAATTGCGTAAAAATTAAACATATTTACTAACTCTGGAACGAGACCTCGAGATTGGCCAAGATATTGCATAACGAGGTACTTCGGCATGCCCAATGGCAACATCATGTCGACTTGTTGTCAAGGAAAAATTTTCTATTGAGGTGATTTAAAAGTTGGGCACTAGAAGATTAAATGCAGTTTTCTCGAAGAAAAGTTAATTAGATGCCCCAAATTTTTGCGAATGTAAGTACAAATTAAAACCTTCTGATCGAGATTTACACAGAGTGTTCACACTGTTTGATCACCACCTATCAGTTATGCTGGTTCTGGCGCGACAGCATGCGAAAACCATGCAGGTCATCCTTAACACTATCCCGGGGTCCACTTTGAACGCGGATATCTCAGCTTTGAGCAAAGCACTCGCGCTGCCGCTTGGGTAATGTCTTAGAAAGGCCCCAGAATTACTTTTCATGTAAAATTTCCGTAGACCACATTTGCATAGACGTGCCCTATAAATCCTTCTCAAATTTCCTACCGTAATCCTACAGTAGCGATAAAAGGCCGAAGATTCATTTTATGATGAAGTTCTAAGTTGAACCTCACTCTACAAAATGGGACCTCAAGCTTGGCGAAAAACATTCAAGCAAGAGAGATGCTGACGATCACAGTGTGCACACTTTTTTGGGACACCCTGTAGATAGGCACAGTCGCATGGCATTCTTTTCCATAAAATATTAAGGACTGTCACTTCTAATAGTTATTACGAATTCTAAAAAGCGCCGCCACTAGAAAATAAGTGAGGCTACCAGAAATTCCATGATGCAGTAGGTGAAAGGACTGTCACCAAATCCATTATGGTCTGATGGTTCGCAGTAAAGTATATATCAGTGAGCGATAGAAGAAATATCATTCACACAATACTCTGCAAAAATCAAAGATCGCATGTTTTGCTGAAAATCTGTCATGAGGAGGAGGGTAGGCCTGCTGATCACGGAAATGATGTTCGTTTCGCAAGGTGGGCTTTCTTTGGGAGGCTACGGTAGGCATACGGTATGGGGTCAAAATCTCAGGAATAACTGAAGCTTTTGCACGGAGGGAATATTCGGCATGCTGATAATGAATATCATACTTTTCCGCATCATATTATCTTTCGATTACGTCAGGTGCATGGTAGGGAGTCGAACTCGCAGAACTTTTACCAAATCTTCGCCCAGGGAGGTTACTATTTTTTCTTGTTACGATAGGTATATATTGATTGTTATAAAAGTAATGTCTTTTTCAAATGAACGCCACATATCGTGGAACAAAGATTTGTGAGAGTTTTTGACAGCATTTGATGCAACATTTCATCCTCTTTATAACGGCTCTAATTTTATTGCATAATCTTATATACATATGAAGCTAAATGTCTGTTTGCCTGTATGTCTGTCTGTGTGTAAGTATGTGCGGAATAGAAATTTTTATATCTGAACCAATAAGGGCTAAACTTGGCCCACATATTCGGGGCAAGCGGGGGGGGGGGAGGAGGGGATAATTGAGCATGCTAATTACTAACACAGCGGGAATAGGGGGAATTGGCACGTAGAAGAGGGCAGGGAAAGGTTGTACAGGGGTAGGGGTGGGACCTTCGTCATAGTCTTTTGACAGGGCCGAGCGGAGCCGGGTAAGCCAGCCAATATTCTATAAACTTTTGAAAAAATACTAGTTTTCTAAACTTTTGTATTGATTCCTAGGAAGGGTACAAGAAACGGGTAGATAGAGCAATCCTTGTAGGACACAAAACAATTTCTTCTTTCCCTTAGCTATTTTAGAATTTCTAAAATAAATTTGATGTTATCAAATTCCATATTTGGTCAACTCAAACCTCACAAAACAACAACCGGCATGAAACCCTGGTGCCATTTGACACAGCCTTTTCTCTTTTTTCTACCAGTTGTTTTTGTTTCCGATTTATAGATTCCGGGATAAAATCATTACAATTCAGGTTTTCCAAGGCGCCCACGCTGTACCCGGATTTTTCAAAGGTTGCTAATCTGAAGCGATAAATTCTCATTTGCTTTGTAAAATTAATCCATTTTTTTCAACATCCTGAGATTTATTGGTGTTTGAGGCATATGTGTCTGGGACAAGCCTGCTAAAATGCGGATAGGTATGGTGAAGTTTCAAATTTGCTCAAAAATTCGTTCAAAACAGTTTTCGGCATGTTGATTACAAATATCATGTTTGCTTGCCGTAGTAACGCCTTATTGTGAAGTAGTGTGATGAGCGTTTGAACAGAAACTAATTCTGCCTTTCAGGCCAGTTAAAATTCCAGAAAAAATGAAATTATAATGCGAAATGAATGCGAAATGGAATAATTAGTGCTTTAGGAAGGAAAGTTAAAGGGAAAGGAAAGGGAAGAGAAGTCAAAGGAAAGTTAAAGGGAAGAAAGGGAAGTTATACGAACGTAATACCACATATCATTGGTAAAATCAAAAAGTAATCAGGGTCACTCCATGATTCTAAACAATGGTAGTTTCAAGTTCCCGTTTCATAAAATGAAGACTATTTCTACAACTTTTTGATAAGAAACCAAGACCTCAACTTCCTTGATATTTCTTTTTGGTTCAGAATGAAATAGGTAGTCATTATACAAGTATAGTAGCATGCTGCTCACTTGCTTGTCTCACAATCTTATAAGACCGATTGAAGGTCTTTTAAAGATGATTGTGGTTCTTATAATGCAAACATGGCTGGCAGACCCGGCTCTGCTCGGCCCTGTCAGTGATATATTCGTAACAGCATGTTTACCTTTGCCAAGTCCCAGCTCTGAGAGCAAACGTTGCAAAAAATCGATAAAATCGATATCGATCGGCAACGAAAAGGAGCCTTTGGCATTTGCCCCGTCCCGAAGTGTATGTGTGCAAAGTTTGGTCCGGGTCTGTTAAAAAATAAAAATTTTTATTCGGAACATACGTACAAACAGACATGCAGACATACAGATATATACGTAGTATGTTTCAACCCAGTTTAGGCAAAAACTGGACGGCGAGATCCGCTTCGCAACTATTCGCGCCGTTTTGCAGTCTGCGTCTCTTCGTTCTAATCTATCTCGCTGAGCCAGTGGCGGCGCGACGCGCTGCTCCATGGAGCAGCGCGTCGCGCCGCGTCGTCTCCTCCTCTGCTCCAAGTGCACTTGGAATGATTTGCCTACTCCGGGTTAAAAAAGGCTGCACAAACAAACATTTAGCTTTATATATGAGATGATTGAACCATTACGTTATATGTATGATGGTTTCGGCCAAATAACTAAATACTACGTAGGTTGTTGACAGCAAATAAACTTTGAGAAGGTAGAATAAAGTTACGGCCTTGTAGGAGAAGTTGTGAAAAAAACTACGATAGGGGATCTTGAGATTACTAGCCTTTATTTCCAAAGTTTGTCCCTTTGACACAGATTTTGGTTCCCTCATCTGCAACCTGCTCAAATTCTGTGCTGAACATTGATGTTTTTTAAAATAGAATACCAAAGAAAAGGGAAAAATTGAAGATATGTGAACCTGGGCATGGATGGAGGTCTTATGGCAAATAATTGCGGATTAAAGTCTTGTTACCAAAAGTCTTATTACCAAAAGGTTTCCAACCACCAATATAGATGCTCAAACCTATGGAATTTCAATTATATGCCAGACACACTGAATGATCAACGCAGACCATGAAAGTGCTTATTCATTTCGTATCGTCATCTCAGTCACCTTATTTGGGAATCAAAACATTGCATAGCCATAAAATACCACACAGTTATGAACGCAAATATCCAGGACAGGATCAATGAAAATCTTGATCGTTGCGTTAATTTCACTGACAGAAGCATTTCTACACCCATACAGCAACGAGCTAATCTTCAGGTTTGTTGATATTTTTCGAAAATTGTTTGAAAGTGTTGATTTTTCAGAAGTGCGGATCAAACTCACATAAGCGATCTCGATCGTTCTGACGCAGGTTCGTCAAATGTCATTTTTAGTGTTTGAAGACGCAACGTTGGCATTTAACTTTGAATTCCTGAAAGAACCTTGGGGATGATGAATTTTTCAAGGAATTTTGAATTCTTCTGTTACCATGGTTAATAAAGCCCACTCACCTTATTTTTCGGATTAACTTTTATTTGAGATCAAAATTATGGTACGCCCATGTTTGAACACTAAAAGTTTTGGACAAGCGCACTTATTTAAGTTCTTAGAGGTGCACAAAGTAACTTTGCTTGTTCACGTCAAAATTACTTTTTAGGATGCCGCGATCACTGCGAGGTTGGATGGACATACCTCGACGAAACGGACGCCTGCTATAAGGTGAGGGGTGTGTACCAATGTTACACATTGTTTCATTTGTACTGCAATTTCTGCATCGCTGCATGAAATAGCAAACAAATATGCGTTGACCACGTGATGTACCATTGCGTAAAATTTGCATAACTCCCAACTTGCTTCCTTTACCTCATATATTTATTTATTTATTGATACACTGTTGTGCACAGTGCGCTAGTACAAGACACGAATGCCACGACAGACAAAGCAGAATGAAACGAAATTGTGACATGCTCAACACCCTAGAGAAATTAAGGAGACTAATTCTCTAAACCAGGTGCTCGTCAGTGTTGTCTTCAAAGTCAGTGTCGTGGGGGCTAAACTTGGTATAAGTACAAGTCCAAGTACGATGCGTGACGGTATATAAATATACGGTCACTTTCGAGCGAAGGAAGAGGGGTGAGCACCTAGGCGGATGAGCGAAATCATGCATACCCGGCGGGCAGGAAACCTCGTTCGGCCTACCCCAACAACGCTAACATCGGACTTGGATACAAGATGATCAAGGATTAGAGACAAAAATAAAGCTACACGACAAAGACGATGTCAAATTTAGAAGACAAACACTAAGCTGCGTATATAGTAAGAGGGCCTCTGAGGTCAAGAGCATGCCAGCAGAACAGCAATGAAGAAAAAGAAAAAAAACTGATGGAACAATATGGTCATACGAATGTATGCTATATTATAACCCATATAACGAGAAACTGAAAACAAAATAACAAGGTAATAGTCGATTTGGGCAAAGGGAACGTGGACCGAAGTTTAGCAAAGTTGTATCCACTGAATTGTACAGGCAGCCATGCAAGGACCCCTGAAATCAAAACAGACGAGACAACATAACTGAGTTAAAAAGGCGATCAACTTCCCAAGTGAAGTCCAAGGAGAGTGGAATATACAGTGAAGAGAGTAGCCAGCGTTAATCTGAGCAAGTCAACACTCTAAAAAAAGGAGGCAGAGCCAAGAATAGAATCTAAAATGTAAGAAAAAAAAGCAAAGGACATAAGAAGAAACTTTATCTCAAAAGTACTCGGATTCATCTATTCCCAGCAATCTCAAAAAGTCACAATTAAGAAGTTTTTTTTTTGAAAGTAGTTGAATTAGGAGCAGAGAGAACTGCGTCAGGAAGCTTTTGTAACCATCGAGAACTGCGTGCAAAAAAGAGTTGTAGAAGAGTGTATTTGGAACAGTAGAGTCAATGCAGTGAAAGCTAAACCCACCTGTTCCGCCGTTGCACGGTCTCCAAACCTAGAATTCACTAGGAACAATTTTTGTTTCAAGGCGAATTATTTGGAAGGCAAGCACTAAGTCAGCCAAAACCCTTCGATACAGCAAGCTATGCAACTTCAAGTGGTCCAGCCTACATCTATAGGAGGAAAGGGTATACGGGTAATCCTCGCTTGGAAAAAATCTGTAGTACAGTACACGGGTGAAAACCATTGGACTTTCTCCACGGTTAGAATGTCTTTATTTAAGTGAGTATTCCAGACTTGGCAAGCATGCTCTAATGAAGGGAGAACATAGGCCATATACAGCTTGATGTATACTCTCAAGTTTACATGCTTCAAGTTCCGTAATAAAAGGAATACTCTGTGTAAGGCTGCATGCGAAATATTCTCAACGTGAGATCTTAACAGGAGCTTATGGTCCATCAATATTCCAAGATCTCTTACAAGCACGGGCCTAGCCAGAGATATACTGGAGTGCGTGTACTCCTTAAGTGTGTTCTCTCGCACCTGCCTTTTGGTGATGGTCAAGCACACACTTTTACGCAAGTTGACATCAATGCAGTTCAAGTCTGCCCACGATAAGATTTTCTGAAGGCAAGCACTCAAGGCATCAGTTACTTCGACTTTGTCCTCATCAGAGTATGAAGCAAAAACTTTTATATCATCTGCATATGCCATGACTTTGATTCTCCAATCAATTGATAAAAGGCCGGGTAAATCACTTGTGTAGATATTAAAAAGGATAGGGGATAAGACACCACCCTGGGGTACTACGCTGGTTGCTGAGAAGATAGAAGATATGGCTGAGTTGACACGTACTGAGAGTGTTCTCTCAGTCAGATAAGACATGAGCCATTTTAGCATACCTTCACGTATTCCAACTGAATATAGTTTCTCAATTAATTTGTGGATGTCTACTCTGTCAAAAGCCTTGGACAAGTCAAAATAAAGAACATCGGTTAATCGATTTTGTGCCAAGGCTCTTTTCCAGTAAAAATCACAAGTAATCAGTTGCAGAGTAGTGGAAAATCCCTCCATAAACCCAAACTGTTCAGATGGTATGAGATGCTTTTGCGCGCAGAATGACAGCAGTTTTCTTCTCACAATCTTCTCAGCAACTTTGCAGACCACAGAGTTAATGCTTATGGGCCGAAACTCCGAGGCCTTTTGTGGGTTCTGGACTTTAGGAATTGGTACCACTCTTCCGTGCTTCCATACTCTGGGTAATTCACCACTGCTCAAAGACATGTTGACAAGTATTGAAACAGGAACTGCTAACTGAGTGGCACATCTTTTATAAACAATCTGGGGAATTCCATCAGCAGTGATGAAGGTCGATGGTTTCAGTCTTTTCAAAATGTTCATAACATCAAAAGGCAGGACTTGAGGAACTTGTGAAAGGTATGAGGAACTTTGTATCTGATTGGTTAGATCAATAGGAAGGCTAGGTCTAGAGTTTGTCGGTTTCTGGAAAACCGATGCAAAATAATGAGCAAGACATTCGGCATTCTATTTATTTATTTATTTATTTATTTATTGCACCAAAAGTGCGCCATCGACTAGTCAAAAAGTCTAGGCAATAGTCATCAGGAAGAAAAAGAACTCAGATAAAATCATCATTAAAAAAATGTTCTCAATTTTGATACTACCAAACTAAATGAATAGGAATTATAGCATCCAAATTTGACCACTATATTGCCTGTTCAAAACATTAACATGGATAGTGAATAGAACGTGAGGTTGGACTAACGGTATCAAAGGTAGTTACTTTCACATTCTCTATTTAAGTGACCAGATTTGATGTAAAAGGGTGGGACCAAGGCGAATGGGCTAAACCATGCGTACCTCGGTTAATTCGTTGAGCTCACCCTAGCTCCTCTGAGATGTTGCTTTCAGTATACTGCATTAAATCCTATTGCTCTGAGCAAAGTTGATGTAGGAGGGTGAGAGCAAGGCGAATGGGCTAAACCATGCGTGCCTAGGCTAATTCACTGAGCTCACCCTAAGTACTCCTTAAGCAGTCGTAAGCAGAATGATTTGAAATTATCTGAGTGATCAACAGTAGTCAAATTTCTGCCATAATTAGCGATAAGAGTAAAAAAAAACGTTTGGTAGAATCAACCTGAGATGTAAGAGATCAGAAGTAAGTAAATTCGTATAGTGTGTCTTGTGCGGTCCTTCATAATAAAGCGGTTTTTTTTAATTTTTTAATTTTTTCATAATTCATTCTCTTGTTCAGTCTTGCATAAATTTCCTTGGTGATCATGTAATCCTTGAGGGCCATGCTTTTCTTTGAAAATCAGGTGGGCATACTTGAAGAGAGAGGAAGTGCTCATGTTGGATAGTCTTTTCTGTCTATTTGCATTGAATTTGGCTAGGTGTCTGGTCGACTTTTTCACCACGTTTTTATATCTATCAGATGTTAACGGGTCATGGATTGTACAAAACAAGCGATCCCTTTGTTCTATCAAGTTCTTAATGTGAGTAGGGTAGTGGCCAGTCTCATACCTTGCTCGTTTCAGTGGGATGAAACGCGACAGTAAGTCGTGTAAAAGGTCGAGAAAGCGTTGATACATGTCATCAATAGAGCAAGAATTGTCGAGCAGGGACCACCAATCAATAGTGTCCAAACAGGCAGGGCCAAATAATCACCGCTCGCATAGTCAAGGCAACAATCCTTACAGGGAAAATCAATCGGCAACATAAGATCAAAGTAAATGCTTGCATGGTCAGATAACCCAAGCGGTGGTCGTATAGTCACATTATGTACCAAAGGCGAAGTTGACAGTACCAAATCAAGTACATTATCATTCCTCGTAGGATGCAGTACATGCTGAGTGAGAGAAAGATCATCGAACAACTTGATAAACCTGGCAGATGCAGAGCATAGTGGCGTTCTAGCCTACCAGTCAATAAGCAAGTTAAAATCGCCAACAAGAACAATATCACTATGAATGCTACAAAGAATTTGCAACGAATCAATGAGTTTGGAATCACCACTATGAGAAGAAGATGGAGGGCGATAGACGAGGATAATTATACACTGAGATTGCGTCACATTATCTGATATTTGTAAGCATAGTGTTTCACTCAACCCCAAACTAGTTACTGGTATCTCTTCACAAATAATAGTTTCTCGGACAAATATACATAAGTCACCGCCACGCCTTTCTGGACGATCCTTTCGAAAAATTCTGTATGGAAGGTTTGAGCTCAATTCGGAAGATTCAATAGAAGATGATAACCAAGAATCAGTTATACAAACTAAATCGGGCTTATCATGTACCAAGAGAAGACGAAATAAATCAATTTTGTTCAATAAACTGCGGGCATTCAATAACACACATTTCATATTACGGGTACCATGCTCATAATTTAGTTTCCCTGCTTTGGATGTTGCCCTGAGCTCCCTTGCAGATCGGCGACTTTGACCAGATCCCCCTTGTAGACAACGTATGCTTTGTACCCAAGCTCTTGATTTTTTAAGCGTGCCTCCTTACGTAGCTCATATTCCTTTTTACGTTGGTCTGCTGTAAGACTTGGCCTAATGTATACGTTAGAAAACCGGGGATTATTGCGCAGTAATTTAGCCTTGCTAAGTACTGCGAGGGAATGCGCCTTAGATGGGAACATGATTTTAGTCAAGCGTGGTTTGCCCTCTGAACCCTTCCCCATCCTAAAAACAGAAGTAGGCCTGACCTCCACTCCAAGATCATCTAGGATATCGGTGACCTTGAATTCCAGACCAGCGTGCTTAGCCGAAGGACGCGAGTTAGATGCTAATTCCGGTATCCCGGCAGCCACAATACTTCTCACACGAAAGAACTCTTCACAAATCATATGGAGTTGACCAAGATTGATCGCAAGGCATGGAGCGAGTCCATGACCTGCGATGGGACACGGGGGGTACTCTCAAGAAAAGTCGATATCGTGTGTAGATGCATGGATATGTCACAAAAAAAAAACCGGGATCAGACAAACCAGCAATGAGAGGATCATCACTCAGAGTTTGGGAGACCTGAGACTGAGAAAAAGAGGCCTTGAATTTGTTTTGAGAAGAACGAGTCACAACCATGATAAAATCGACAACAAGATCGAGAGCGCCAAAGAAACACGACCGCTCAATGCGCGGGCAGTGATAAGAATGAAATATGCATATAATATAATATATGAAATTGAAAATTTGTTTTATGTGTGCATTTCGAACCGATCCAGACCAAACATGCTGGGTATTCATTCCGAGAGCAGATGCATTTTCTGTGGCGTAAATTCTTTCGAAATGTGGTTTTGCCCATCTTAGATATGTAAGGAAAACAATTTTTTTGCTCTAAAATCCAGTCAGCCACAGAGAACCTGCCTAAGCTCAACCTCCGATGTGTACACATACACATCGGGAAGGGACGGGTCGTAGGCACATCTACCAACATCAATTTTGCCATTTTATGTTTACATTAACTCATACATTCGTGGTTAAGTCACGTAAGGGTCTTACGGGACTTATAACTACCGAACTAAAAAGGTAATTTTGCGCGGGAACCCAATTTTGTCCAGAACTTAGGGTCGTGCATATATCACGCGATTTCATCGTCCGGGCTTTAAGGTCGGGACAAAATCTTGTTCTCGCGTAAAGCTACCTTTTTGGCGATTTTCATTCTGTGAGGAGACTCTTGCGGGACTTAAACGAATGCCTGAGCATACTGCGGGGCTACGAACCGGTACAGAGCAGGGGGGGGGGAGATAAATGGATATTGATCAACGAACACGGGGCACGGAGCTGGCATAGAGAATTGAGACAAAGCCAAGTAATGTTGTGTAGAAGTGGGACGTACTGGTAAATACAATGTCGTATTGAAGGACCGAGCGAAGCTTGGTAATCTTCTGCCTGCTAGCTAGTAAACAATATGGTAGCTGAGCTTTCGCAAAACATCAAAATTTTCAAATTACTCCAATATACAAATCATGTAGTTCATGGATCAAATGCCTTTCATCTTCAAAAAAGACATTTTTAGTGTCGGTGGTATACCATGCCAATGCCAAAATAGTTTTTGATGGGTCCTCATTAGATCTGACGTTGGTTTAACGTCTTCTTTGTTTTCAAATGATTACAATAGCTTCAATCAATTCTGAGCAATACACCGCCAAGAGTCTCTTTCGATTTGTCAGCCTAAACCTAAGTAAAGGCTACCAGCGCGAAAACACTAAGGCTTCAAAAATAACCCAAAAATAAATCTCATAAAAGTCTGTTAATTAGCAGTGACACTGATTTTTCATCTATCGTTGTGTAATTTCACGGCTGCACATAAGAACCATGACGCTCTGTTTGAAATCGGTGTCCATTACAAGGTGCGCGGACTTACCTGAATAAGGATCATTGTCGGCTTGTTTACAACCTTAAACTTGTGCTCTGCTGGATTTCCGATAAGGTCTGGATTGACAAAGTGAGAGGACGCGGTGGTGCATTGAAAATCGTTAGGTCTTATGACCCATCGCAAACTTGATATAGCACGGCTTATCACAGACATATAAGTCGGTTCGAAAGGAGTAGAGCTGTCCTATAATCTCTTAAGTGAGGAAAACGGGGGCGTTCTTGCTCCCTCCGCTTTGCCAATTATGGTCATATTAAGAGATAGCAATCTGTCATGCGATAGTGTAAACCAGCGTACCATATTTTACCTGTACAGCAGATTTTGCAGTGAATATCTTAGCGCTTTGAAAGAAAAAGCAAGAATTACCTACATGGAAAATACATTGCCGCACTCTTGGATAAAAGATCTGCAGTTTCAAACGACAACATAAAAATTTTTGACTTGAGGGTCGTTATCTACCCACCCGGTGGCATCATAGATGCCGACAAGTTGGCAGACATGCAGGATTTGGAGGATGTGATTTCGGTTGTAGGGAACAACCAAAGAAGTTGTGAATGCTTCATATCTCAAATCGCAATCACAGCTACTACCTGCGTCTGGTTGAGTTGAGCGAGACACACCCAGCACAAAGTACTTATGAAGTACTCAAACTACATTATTTACAAACTTTATCGAGATAAGAGTCTCAAGGTTGTTCGCTGACAGAAATGTTTAAAGAATTTCTTCCATGCTACCTTTCAAAGTGCCGAAAACCTGTGTAAAACTCTTGGAGGACATTTGGCTTCGATCCACAGTTATAACGAGAACCTCTTCGTGGCTGGTAAATTTATTTTGTGTAATTTGGACCTGAGGTTCCAACTCGTGATATTCAGAGCTTGCAAAATCGGGTAGGCAAATGACTGATCCTGATATTTGGACGCAGGGGACTTGGATTGGTCTGGAACGCTATGATCATTTAAACTGGACCTGGACTGACGGCACAAACGTTGACTTTCTACTATGGGCTCCGGGAGAACCAAATAACTTTGAAGGAGTACAAAAATGCGGGCAGGTATCACTTTTGAATAAATAGGTCTCAACTGCTGGCGTAGGGATGCTTTTTAAAACAATAAGGAGAGCTATATCCGGGTTGGGTGAACTTATGTTATTCGGCTAACACGCAAAACTCAATCAGCCACATTAAGGCAGGTGTTTCTTTGAATAAGACACGTTCGCCTCCAAATTGTTTTCAATTCACGCGTCTATGAAACAGCGTAATCGCTCCCAGCTTTAGGCCTCGGACAGAGTACATGCGATTTAATCGTCGCTATTCTTTGCTACAAGACAAGGTTAGGCCTCGGGCAGAGTTCACACGATCAATCGTTGAAGACAAGTGTTACGAGTTCATTGCATGCCGATCTTCTTGTATTTGGTTGTGATAGTTAGTCACGATTAGTCGTGTTGGAAAACTATCACAACCGAGATGCAAGAAGATTGGCATGCAATGAACTCGTAGCACCGATTGAATCGCGACGGTCAAATCGCGCGAACTCTGTCCTAGGGCTTGCAAGTTCATTGCATGCCGATCTTCTTGCTTTTCGGTTGACCTAGTCACGATCAGTCGTGTGGAAAACTATCACAACCGAAATACAAGATGGTCGGCATGCAATAGATTCGTAACTGTTTGTTTTCTCAGAAGAATCGCGGTGATGAATTCGTGTGAACTCTGCATGAGGCCTTAGATGGAGAGGGGCATTGCGATCTTGCGGACTTGGCAACCACTCTAATTATGTGAGATAGGGAAGATCAGTGATTTATGAAGTCGTAATGTTTCGCTTGATCAATGGTTGGTGTGGTAAAACAAATTCTCTTTTTTCAAAAAACATCTGAAATTTCTTTCAGCCTTTAATAGATTATAAATGTTACATGAAACCTACGAGAGAGCAATTAGCTATCTGAACAGCTGTCACTGTCTGAGCATCGCTATCCTGCCCTACCGTTCCCTTATTTTTTTGTTTTGAATAATTTATCGATTAACTTTTATAATTTCTGTTTCAGCTGTGGCCAGACCCACATGTAGACAGATCCATGGCCTTAACCTATCAAAGATGGGACGATTTAGATTGTCACATTGAAATCAGATCGTTTGTGTGCAAGAAGAAGCCTTTGCACTAGTGGCGAAACAAAAACGCGTTTGATTGCTGTGAATGAAATTTTGTACAACAAATCTTACAAATAGCAGTAAATACTCAATAAATTTTTTGATCTAAAAATTTTCTACGTATATACAACCGCGAAGACCTAGTGAGGCAGGTTGAAAAAAACAGCTAGGGCTTTGTAGGAGTCGTTGACTGTTTGTTGTTTTGTGAGGAAAAAAATTTTCAGGTTCTAGTAAGATTTAAAAAACTGGAAGCAAACTCGCACAGTTTTGCTTCAATCCCATTCTAATCATAGTGGGAACAAGTTTTTTAGCAGAGCACCATTTGCATTCGAAACTAATGAACAAACACCTTAGAACTTACACATCGTAGCCTAACGATAGCCTAGGAAGAACATCTGTACGTGCAACAAACTTTCTATGAATACATAGTATATTCGACCAATCAATAAATGTGTTCGGCCACTTGCTGTTTAGGTGGCCGAACCCGTACCATCAATCAACCTGCAGTAAAGCGGGCGGGTCCACAGGGGTCAGTGGGGTGTAAGCTTTGGCAGTCGTGCAATAAACGTTAGTAGCGACGTGTTGTGAGCTCCCAGTGTTACAGCTGCCCTATAGTGGCACAAAACGTGTGAAGTAAAATTACAAACCTTTGCACTAGGAGCCTGACAAGCCAATGTCCCATCGGATTTGAGGTATGTCGGATTTGAGGAGTTTCATTAATAAACCCCTTGTTATGGTCACGTCCAAGTCACATTACAAGCCCTCTCCTACGCCGAAAGAATTGGGCTCAGGTGGCTCGCGCAGCGCATTTCGCTGCGCACTCTCAAACAGCGGATAGGATCCCTCCGCCGGAGAAATGGCAGGGCCGCGGGGTTTCCCCAGCGGTGGGTCTACCACTCGTCCGCCGGAGCCCTCCTATTTCTGCTCCGGAGACCTCCCATTTTCTGCTCCGGAGACCTCCCATTTTCTGCTCCGGATACCTCCCATTTTCTGCTCCGGAGACCTCCCATTTGCGCTCCGGAGCCCCCCGATTTTGTGCTCCGCAAGTCTGCCGCGGCATACTGTAGTTAGCCCTAATTAAGCTCCAAACCCCAATTTTGTCTCTAAACCCCACCCAAATCAGCCGAATACGACCCTCCCCCCCGGGGGAAGAGTTTAGCGCGACCCTCAACCCCGTTCTTTACCCCTCACCCCTAGCGTTTGTGGGGTGGGGGAACGAAAGCCGCCAGGTCCAGCCGCCTTTCGCGGCCAGCTGGTCCTTTCGCAGCGTTGTTGCATGTCGTTCCAGGACCAGCAGTCCGCGGAGGCGGCTGGACCTGGCGGCTTTCGTTCCCCCACCCGCGTTTGTGGATAGAAGATAGAAGAATGAAGAAACAAGACATTTATTTCAAATTAACTACAAATAATCTCCTGCAAATTGCAAAACAAAACTTAGCGGCTACAAAACGGACAACACCGACAACAGTTGCCGGCAACCTATGGCCGTAACAACAGACACAAGACATAACATAAGACTTAGTAGTAGTATTGCTAATAAGAAGAACTTTATGCAGGAAAGAAGACCCAAACCGGTGAACACGAGATAGCAAAAGCACATATCGACAATTTTGATTGCAGGTTTGCCATCATTCCAAATGCAAACTTAGAGTAGTTTTTTTTTGCGAAAAAGATGGAACACAAACTTTTTGCATGATTTAGCATTAGATCCCACACGTGTGAGCATATTTGAAAACAACTCTATTTAGAGAGAAAGTCGAACATCTCTCGAAGAAAAATAACGAGCACTTGCCTCGTCCCATCTCTATCAAAACTTCTGCTGTGAAGTAGACCAAACGCGGAAAACAGTTTGAGAGTAAAATTTCCGAGAAATTTGAGATCCGATTCTTTGAACTCAGCCATACTCATGCCAACCTAAACACCAACAAATGGATACAAGGACAGAATGTGGAGATTAAACATGCCTTATTCGTTTCCGGATTAAACTTCGGTAAGCGATGTCGGGGACATGGCACAAGCTTGAAGAATTGTGGTAAAGAGTATAGAAAATTAAATACTTGAAGTACACAAAACTCGCAGAATCCGCAATAGAATCACAGTCTATGAGAGAAACCATTATCCGTCGGAATCCGGCGCTGATCTTAGCTATAGTAAATAGCTAACGCGACCATAAAAGGCGGCCCAGCTGCCGCTCGTCCTTCCTTTGGTAACGAATCTTCCTTTTCACATATAAATCTTACTTACCACATCATTAGGTCATCCTGAAACTATCATTTGTCTTCTTTACTCTCTGATCTTGCTACGACTGAAAATTCTCTTCATTCTTGGATATTCTCTCAATATACCATAACGTGCAAATACTTAGGGAGTGATGTTTCTCTAGGATGCCTCATGGAATTCATCATTATCGAGTTATCCCAATAAGTTTTCAGCAGAATATAAAAGGATTTTATTTGATGAAGTTAGATGAACCTCTGCTTTTCAAAACGTGTACATTGTTTAGGGAGATGAAGTCATCCAATGACAATCTTGTTTTCCTCAAAGCAAAAAGATTTCGTAAGTGATACTTCTATGTCATCCATCAACATCAGTTGTTAGCAAACTCAGGTCCCCATCCATTATCGTTTCATAAGTTCGTCGACTTTTTATTTTTGTCATCGTTTTTGGATGAAGCGGTTGGTTTACGGCAAAATACCTACACCAATGAAAAGAGAAAATTTTGCTCTACAAGAACTGTTGTTCGTTTTTGGAGCAAACTTGAATCCCCTTCTTTTACGACTTATCAAAGCAAAATTTTTTGAGAGGCAAAAATTGGCGATTGCGGCAACTGCACTTTCCGCATTTGGTCCGTATTCCGCAAGATGTTTCTGTCATAGGTAGGCGGGATGGATAGTAGCAAGCAAGACTGAAACACTGACAAATTTGCAGCATGCCAATATGCATAGAACCGTTTGAACAAGGTCCCAATGGTTTTGTTGTCTTTGACTGCTGCCGCTTGAGTTTGGCGCGTTGTTCAGCGACACAATGTGTCGGTCCTCCTATCGGAATTTGAGGAATGGATGCGTTCTTCTAAGTGGTGTAGATGTATGAGTACAAGCTCTGACCAACATTTTACGCTTTCTCAAAAAAAATTTTTGACGTGGGAACTTTTTGAAATTTGCCAAACGCAAAACATCTACACACATGGTAAACGTGCGCTTAATCTTTCTTTATAGCCTCTCTTTGGATATGGAGACTACTTTTATTTGCACCGTAGTACCACAAACAGTTGTTTCTCATCACTCATAACAACTTCAGACGAAAAATTCCCACTTGTGGCTCCGTATACGGATCGAAAGTTGCAGTTGCCGCAATCGCCAATTTTTGCCTCTCAAAAAATTTTGCTTTGATAAGTCGTAAAAGAAGGGGATTCAAGTTTGCTCCAAAAACGAACAACAGTTCTTGTAGAGCAAGATTTTCTCTTTTCAATGGTGTAGGTACTTTGCCGTAAACGAACCGCTTCATCGAAAAACGGCGACAAAAATAAAAAGTCTACGAACTTATGAAACGACCTAGTATATAAGACTCAAAGGATAAGCGACACATCATATCAAACAAATGCAGGATCACTTTATCATCTGATAAGTAAGATCAATGAAAAAGTAAAAGGCAACCGGGTTGCCTTTTATGGTCGCGTTAGCTATATACTATAGCTAAGGTCAGCGCCGGATTCCGACGGGTAATGGTTTCTGTCTATAAGAACAATAACGAACAGTCGAGTAGATTTAGCGGTAAATATAGTGTGCTTGCACAGATGAAATGCGGTGAAATTTGCGCGTGAACAAGTAGCCACGTCAGTACCGCGGGTATCTTGCGCGCGCAATTGGCCGACGTCACAGTCGAAACTATTTCTTCACGCGCCAATTTCACCGCATTTCATCTTTTGTGCAAGCACACTATATTTACCGCTAAATCTACTCGACTGTACCTGTGGATTAAGGAACAGTATCATGGTCTTGCTAAAATGACCAAGAATTGATACGACGGCTAGAGTCATCCCTGCCCAATAACAAAATCTATCACAAACAAAAACTCGTGCTGGGTACTAAAACTAGGGTTTAGTGAGAAGCAGAAAGGGAAATCTGGCATCACTTTATTGAATTGATAGAGAGCCAATGTACACGTTAAGAAGGATATCAGAAAGTAGAGTGACAGCAAATGGTCCCAATACTGTTCTTGTACACGCGTAACCTGAATGTGAGATTGATTTGATAATACGACCGATACCGATAGTCTATACGTTTACCATGAATCTTGGAAGATACGTAGCAGATTAGGTAATGAATGACGCCGACTCTGAGCGCACATACACACTTGAACAGGACACGTACTTAAATCTACACATGGCTGCGCAAAGCGCGCCCCATGACCCGGCGCCAAATTAGCCAGCGCGCATGGTTTACGATGCCGGAGCACGCTGGGTACTTTGAACAGTTGATGGAATCCACTAAGTCAAGTGCAAGACCAACGAAAAGTGTTTGACCGCCTCTATTCCCATGTTCCGGAAAAGCCCATACATGAGGAAGTGAGTGAATGACACGAGGATTTCTCAGTAAATCCTTTGTTTTTCGATCCATCGATCCGCGCACTGTTTCAAACTCAACGCGTCTATGCATGCCTTATTATGCTTAACAAGTGCTTTTCGCTCCAGTCACCAATCATCATATGACTGTGTCCGATGGCTTCAAGCTCATCCGTTCCTGCTCTTTGGAGGGTGCACATAGATGTGAAACAGCAATGCATTCATGAAAAACAGGCAAGCATCGAGAAATTCTGTTACGAAACAGACTTGATCCCTAGGTTTCAGTGAAAATTAAGAGCTCCTCTACAATGCCTTTTTCAAACATTAGTCAAATGAAAAGTTTTATCAGGATGGACTGAGGCATTAATACTTCTTTGGTTTCTAACGAAAAGAACTGGATAAAAGTTCTAAGATAGCTTTCAACAAATCAATCAACAAAGAAGTTCTGAGCTGTTTCGTTAGAAGCCAACTTAGAACTCCTATCCACTAGTCTTCAATTGGACTTGCATCAAACGCTGGATAGGAGTTATGAGAAAGTACATA